CTATCCAAATATAATCTACACTGATAGTAAAAGAGCTGATAACTGTGAGAAAAGTTCAAACACCCGAACAAAATGTATCTATAACTTCCCCAAGAACATCAGCTCCTCTGATCCTGGGACTTACTACTGTGCTGTGGCTACATGTGGAGAAATCTTATTAGGAAATGTAATCAGAAAGGAAGGAGGTAATGTACACACATTGAGAAATATGCACAATAATAAGTGATTATTTCAAAGGCTTAGAGATGCTCATGTTTCTTTTTTCTCATTTCTAGGTCAAACATTATGTTACAAAAATACGATTGTGCTGACCACAATAATCCTTTTAGCCATTTCTGTGATTGTACATATAATTTTGATCTTTTATCGAACTCAAGCCTTTCCATGTCAAATAGTTAAAGGTAAGTATTATTAACCAATCAATATTAATTTTGTATTACTTAAAACTCAAGATCTATTAAAGAAAGTAACAGCCTGAGTTTATGTTATGCTTTAAATATGTACCATCTGACATGTGAGAGATCATTGAAATAAAATGTTATCATTAATGCATGTTGCTCTTTGTTCCACAGAAAGACCCTCTGTAGCAAAACGCAACAACTTGAACCACCACAGAGATGAAATTGTGGGTAGTGATAAAAAAAAAAATCCCAAAAACTATTATTTGAGTAAATTTGATACTCTTTCTTTAACTTTACATTAAATGCATTTCTCTGAACAGCGTGATGATGGACAGGATCTGGTCTACTCTGCATTACATTTTTCTGGGAGGAAGAAACGAAGAGGAACAAAGAAGATGGAAATGAAGACTGAAGAAATTGTTTATTCAGAAGTCAGACCATCAGTTTGAATTAATGTTGAGAGGAAACCTGCACTCTTTCAAAAGAGTAGTCCTTCCATTTTACTTTTTCTTTTTTTTCTTTTTAAATAATGTTACATATGTGAGAGGCCATTGCAAAACCACATCCAAGTCTATCCAGGTTAATTTGGTCATTTACAGATCCTGAAGGAATTGATTCTAAGCTTTCAAGTAATGTAAAACAAATGAAAATTGAAGAAGATATGAATGTTGGCACTCTACAAGCACTAAGGAGAAAACAAACTTTGAAGATTCTTTAAATTGACACTGGAAGTGCGACGGAGTGTTAGGTTCAAAAAATTATTTTATTTTGAGAATCAAGTCATGTTATTATAATATATTATTATAAAGTCATAACATTATGAAAACAAAGTCGTAATAATATGAGAATAAAGTTGAAAATAACGTGAATGAAGTTATGATACCACAACCTGTTTCAGAAAGAAAGCTTCGAGCTCAGACCAGCATGTAACAGCCGACCAGACAGCAACCTGAGTCAACTTTGACATATTGCCCAATTTGATGCTGGTGTTCTAAAAAATGTTCTTATTTGTGAAATTATACTAAAGTATAACTTCACATTATGCTCGATATTCCACATTTTAGGGAATACAGTGTTTCTTGTAAGAGTTGTCATATAATACACTTTATTCTTGTAATATTTAAACTTTATTCTCCTAATGTTACTTAATTCTCATAATGACTGTTATTGTTGCGCATTTATTGTTGTAATGACTTTATTTTCAACTTTAAAAAAAAACTACTTCTAGCCTGGCCCTAATACTCCATTGTACTGGAACTAGATGCACTGTTTTCAATGTAAAGGCCATTTACAGCACTGAATTACAAAATTTGTTTGACCTATGTAGCAAAGCTCCCGATTTACCGGTCGATCTATATTCCTACCCTCATCTATGGTCATGAGCTTTGGGTAATGACCAAAAGAACGAGATCCCGGATACACACTCCGTAGTGTGTCTGGGCTCTCCCTTAGAGGTAGGGTGAGGAGCTCAGTCTTCCAGGGAAGACTCAGAGTAGAGCCGCTGCTACTCCACATCGAGAGGCGCCAGTTGAGGTGGCTCGGGCATCTGATTAGGATGCCTCCTGGATATCTCCCTGGTAAGGTGTTCCAGGCATGACCCACCGGGAGGAGGCCCAGGGGGAGGCCCAGGACACGCTGGAGGGACTATGTTTCTTGGCTGGCCTGGGGGAGCCCTGGGATTCCCCTGGAGGAGCTGGCCGAAGTGGCTGAATAGAGGGACGTCTGGGCATCCATACCGAAGCTGCTACCCCGCGACCTGACCCTGGATAAGCAGAAGAAAATGGATGGATGGATGGATGGATGGATGGATGGATGGATGGATGGATGGATGGATGGATGGATGGATGGATGGATGNTTCTGGTTCAAAGCTGGATCCAACAAATCCTATCCAAATATCATCTACACTGATAGTAAAAGAGCTGATAACTGTGAGAAAAGTCCAAACACCCGAACAAAATGTACCTATAACTTCCCCAAGAACATCAGCTCCTCTGATCCTGGGACTTACTACTGTGCTGTGGCTACATGTGGAGAAATCTTGTTAGGAAATGTAATCAGAAAGGAAGGAGGTAATATAAACACATTGAGAAATATGCACAATAATAAATGACTATTTCAAAGGCTTAGAGATGCTCATGTTTCTTTTTTCTCTTTTCTAGGTCAAACATTATGTTACAAAAATACGATTGTGCTGATCACAATAATCTTTTTAGCTGTTTCTGTGATCGTACATATAATTTTGATCTTTTATCGAACTCAAGCCTTGCCATGTCAAATAGTTAAAGGTAAGTATTATTAACCAATCAATATTAACTTTGTATTCTACTTAAAACTCAAGATCTACAGAAGAAAGTAACAACCTGAGTTTATGTAATGCTTTAAATATTAGCCATCTGACATGTGAGAGATCATTGAAATAAAATGTTATCAATAATGCATGTTGCTCTTTGTTCCACAGAAAGACCCTCTGTAGCAAAACGCAACAACGTGAACCACCAAAGAGATGAAATTGTGGGTAGTGATAAAAAAAAATCCCAAAAAATGTATTTGAGTAAGTTTGATACTCTTTCTTTAACTTTACATTGAATGCATTTCTCTTAACAGCGTGATGATGAGCAGGATCTGGTCTACTCTGCATTACATTTTTCTGGAAGGATGAAACCAAGAGGAACAAAGAAGATGGAAATGAAGACTAAAGAAATTGTGTATTCAGAAGTCAGACCATCAGTTTGAATTAATGTTGAGAGGAAATCTGCAATGTTTCAAAAAAGTAGTCTTTCCCTTTTTATTTTTTCATTTTTTATTTTTAAATAATGATTCATATGTGAGAGGCCATTGCAAAACTACATCCAAGTCTATCTGGGGCAATTTGCAGTTATTGACAGATCCTAAAGGAATGGAGTCTAAGTTTTCAAGTAATGTAAAACAAATGAAAATTGAAGAAAATATGAATATTGGCACTCTCCGAGCAATAAGGAGAAAGCAAACTTTGAAGATTCTTTAAATTGACACTGGAAGTGCGACGGAGTGTTAGGTTCAAAAAATTATTTTATTTTGAGAATAAAGTCAAGTTATTATAATATATTATTATAAAGTCATAACATTATGAAAATAAACTATGAGAATAAAGTTGAAAATAGCGTGAATGAAGTTATCATACCACAACCTGTTTCAGAAAGAAAGCTTCGAGCTCAGACCAGCATGTAACGGCCGACCAGACAGCAACCTGAGTCAACTTTGACATACTGCCCAATTTGATGCCGGTGTAGTATAACTTCACATTATGCTCGATATTCCACATTTAAGGGAAGACAGTGTTTCTTGTAAGAGTTGTCATATAATACACTTCATTCTTGTAATATTAAAACTTTATTCTCCTAATGTTACTTAATTCTCATAATGACCAATATTGTTGCGACTTTATTCTTGTAATTTTATGACTTAATTCTTGTAATGTTATTACTTTATTCTCTACTTAAAAAAAAAACTACTTCTAGCCTGGCCTTAATTCTCCATCGTACTTGAACTAGATGCACTGTTTTCAATGTAAAGGCCATTTACAGCACTGAATTACAAAATTTGTGTGACATATGTAGCAAAGCTCCTGATTTACTGGTCGATCTTCCTACCCTCATCTATTGTCATGAGCTTTGGGTCATGACCAAAAGAACGAGATCCTGGATACAAGCGGATGAAATTAGTTTTCTCCATAGTGTGCCTGGGCTCTCCCTTAGAGGTGGATGGAAGGATGGAGGGATGGGTGTGACATATGTGCATTTCTCAGGGAAACATGTTTTAGATGTCCAAAAGAAATAAAACACAAATTTAAAAGTAAAACACAACAACTAATTTAACTTTAAAACTTTAAATATTTTTTATCTTTGCGTGTTTTTGGTGTCTGTCTAAATAGTTAATTGGCATAATGTTACCAGTTAATCAATCTGGGGGGCTCATCCGCAACAGACCAATCAATGTTCAGGATTTGTCCTTAAGTGAAATGTCCCTCCCCTGCAGGAGCAAATGTGTCTCTCTCTTTTGTCAACTTTCCAGAATTTTGCATTTGGAAGGCATAGCGGAGATGGGAATTTTGTTAAAAAGACATTTTATGAAATGTTAAACATTTTTAAGTGAAACATGCAATTCAGACATGCTTAAAAAAACGAAAATGGAGTCTTAGAAAATACAAAAGATAGATGGGCTGGAGTCATGCATTAAAATAAATTTCCCACAAAACTCCTCCCTGTACGAAATTACGGTATGTAAAGGAGGCAGGACGTAACATTGGAAATCATAAACAGGAACCAAGTTAACTTCATAAGGAACTCATGAACCTTATCTGCTAAATCAGCAGAATTGGAAGAACATATAATAAATGAGCCTGTGAAAAAAGATAATAATGCAAATAACACAATCCTCAAAAGAAACAGTTCTTGCAGGAAAGTTAGAAGATCGAAACCACAAAAAGTCTTGGGACGATGATGAAGAGGATCTGACTTCTGCATTTTAGGAGCGGATCCCTTATCATCGTTCCAGTTTATGTTTCACAGACCATAAGATCATGAGATTACATCACAGTAACCCCCAAAAGGGAAACCATTAATAACATAAAATAGGTGGCAGCATAGGTTCTTAGAAAACAGTCGGCAATAAGTCACATGGATAGAACAGTCTCATGGTTCATTGTTTTATAAACAGTAAACCCCTCAGATGTGACCTTATTTTTTGTTAAATTAGAGTGTAGCATTTGAACTATAGACCAGAGGTCACAAATTAGTGGAGATAGGCACCAGCACCTCTCGCGACCCCACTTGGGAATAAGTATGTCTGAAAATGGATGGATGTATGTATGATATGGATGCATAAAAACACCATTTTATTGTAGTGTGTCAGGATAATTATCATTGATTATATTTCACCTTAATATTAGCTGCCTGTTGCGTGTCAGAACTGATGTTTTCCCTCATAGTTTATCTAATTAAGACAGTTCCTCTGTCCGGATACACAGTTATGTTAGTTAGCCATGGATGTCTTCTCATCTGCTAACGTGTGATGTCACGATGCTGCATACTGAAGTATAAAATGCTTCTCTACCTGTTTGTCAGGGCCACTTCCTGTGAAGTGAGCCCAGCTGGTAAGCGCTACCTTCTGTAACTCTAAGCAACTTCTCTGATTCGAGTAAGATTACAATTTCTATTAAAATCTGTTGTCATGTCTCTTGGTTATTTAATACATATATAGGTTATGAAATGGTATTTAAAGCGTTTGTCTTGAGTGAGCTCTTTTCAGGAAAAAAGAACTGGAGAGAGAAAGCTTCAAGGTGTAGACACAGAGCCTATCTTTAACAAGTGTTAAATTCTGTTTAAAGTAAGAGATTATAATTAAAAATGTCTCTGGACCTTTATCAGTTGTTGGTTTTCCTTATTCGGGCCCCGCTGATTTTTAATTGGTTACCCCTGCTGTAGAGCATTATATCCTTTAATATCGACTACAGCACTGTGTTGGTCTAAAGGGTGCAGTTTTAGAACAGTTCTTGTCATATTAGAGAGACAGACGGTTTTCTATTTAACTTGATCACTGCTCCTCTGTGATAGCAGCCCTAAATTATGGAGTCCCCCAGGGTTCCTTCTTTGGACCTACTTTTTATATTGTAGCTGTTGCATCTTGGACAAGTTTCAAAGCAAGTTAACAACTTTAAACTCTTACAGACAACAATTATATAAAGATGTCCTTGAAAATTTAAATGATGCAAATGATTCCCTATTCTTTAAAAAGCTGTCGAGCAGCAAATGCAAGATGGTTGGAATTTTTTCACACCTCTTAACATTTTGTAAATTCTCATCTATTTACATACCCAAATCGAAAAGCAAATAACTTAGGAACTGTAAGCCCACATCACATGTGTTACATTGTTTGCAAGCTAACACCTTCTAATTTCTGAATATATAAATGATTTGTTTGTGGATTGATGACCCAAAATGCAGAGGCAGGGAGGCAGAGATGATTATCTTGTGGGTTTATTAAAGGAGAACAGAAAACAGAGGCAGGAAAATCCAAACACAAAAACTAAGTCCTAAACAAACTGAAAACCAGGAGTCCAAATATCCAAAAATCCCAAAAGCAAAACATGAAAACAAAGTCTAAACAAACCAGTAACCATGGAGACTTCAGGGGGGGATCCAATCTAGAAGAGGTAGGCTCAGAGAGACGGAGTTGGAGGTAGTAGACGAGGTTAGACGATTTATGACGAGGACCCAGCAAAGGGGAACTGAAGAGAGAGGGCTTTTAAAGGAGACTGAGACAAAGAGGGGGCTAATGAGGAAACTGGGTGCAGGTGTGCACAGAAATTAGAGTGGGAAAGAGCTAGGGAAGAAGGATAAACATAAGAGGGCAGCAGAGAGCAAAAAATAGAAACCTGGAAGACTGGAAATAACAACAAAATAATAATTAAATTACTAGGACTCTAAAACAATAAGTAAAGCAAGACTAAACACTAAAAGGAAAATATAACAGAACAAAGACTGTGAAAAGAATCAAAGAACTCAATAAACTAAGAATTAAGCCACTAAAACTAGAAAAAAAGGAGCAAAGCAAAACTGGATACTCAAAAGAAAAACATAACAAAAACAGAAACCTGACATAAATGAAAACCGGGTGAGTAAAACACAGCCCAGACTCAAATTTGTTTTTTTTTATTATCGAAAATAATAGGTCTTTTTTTAACAAAAGTAATAAAGACATGTTGGAGAATAGACATGTCTCAATATATTAAATTTATTTACATCATGTCAATTACAAAGAAGACATATCCCACCTTGGAGAAAATTTTAGTCAGTCAGAAAAAATAAATAAAATAATGTTGAAAAGGTGAATGCTGGTGGCACAAAAGTAATTTCCAGGCTAAACCTAAAATATATAAACTTAAACTTGGAATATTTAATCATGAATCGAGAAATGCAAGATGGAGCTTAATCTTAAATATAATTTACAAATCTACCAACAACTATTGTGCTCGGTTTTGTAAAAATTGATGGTTCACTTTCCACTGGATTATATGAATATTTTCTGTTAATTTCTTCTTTTTTTTTTCTATTTATTGCTTGAAATAAATAACTTTAAAATGAAATCACTTTTCTCTAGATTATTTCAACAGGCCCTGAAGACTACGTGTCATGAGCCTTAAGACTCTGGTTTTGGTTTCCTTTGAGTTCCTGTTTTCCAGTATTTTATTCTTTAGCATATTATTTGAATTGTTTTTTTTTNTGCGCAGTGAAATAGCTCACGTTTTTATACACGCAAACCTTTGATAGGTCCGACCCTGAGAATCAGACAGGTCCAACTTCTTAAAACTATAGTAGCTAGTTCTTATAAAAAGAACAGACCAGCACATCTGTCCAGTTCTATGGTCTTTTCAAGGCACTCACTAGTCAGAGCCAAACTCACAGTACTCACCATTTCAAGACTCATAAAAGACACTGAAGCAGCCTTCAGATTTGTTGCAGCAACAATCCAAATAAAGCTTCCTGTATACTGTAGAATTGTCGCCACCCAAAGCTCTTTTCATACAAGGTTAAAACATTTTTGTTTTATGAACTAATGTAATTTAAACTGCTTATTTTTAATTCACTTTTATGTATCTCTTATAACTTGTTAAGAACTTCTATTTATTTGTATGCATTTATTGTACAACCACTCTTAGCTACTTTTGGATAAAAATGGCTATATAAATAAAGGTGGAGTCCTTACCTATCTGCCTATATAATTGAGCTCTGGTAATCTTTATGTGTTATTTTTGGAAATAAAATTAACTGTGTTCCACCCAGTACATACTTCACACATTCGTCAAACATTAGCAGCTGCTTATGGTATGGAATCCTGAACATTTGTGGTAGAGTTCAAATTAGTCCCTTGTTTTTTTTTTTTAATATTACTGAAGAACCTGTTAGTGGCGCTATCAGAAAAGATATCTGTGCTAAGTATTGTTTCTTGATCAAAGAAATAGGTCAGGTCAAATGAAAACATGAATTTTGTCCTTGAAATAATTGATAATTGAAAGATAAATTGTAAAATAAGAAGAAAGATTTCTAACAAAACAGGGTCTTAAGGTGGGAGGAGGCATTTTTTTTTCTGAAAAGAGAGAAACCAGTTAGATGCACTTTAGAGCTGGATCGCCACACCTACTCCTGTTAGTAAAGCATCAAATGTCTTTATGAGGTCAGTGCCATCATGTGTCTGTTATGGATCACAGTCCTTATTCTTCATCAAGGATGTAAGTACATTTTGTTTTAAAGTGTGAAATTATTTCAAGTTTAACATTAACATTTAATTTGGATCATTGATTTTATCTCTAACCCAGATGCCTTAGTTCCTGTGGTCACTGTTCAGCTTGGTGAGCCTGTAACTTTTACCTGTGCAAATATGGAGTCCAGAGCATGGATTCAGTGGTACAAGCAAACTTCTGGAGATAATCTGAAAATGATTGTAAAGCAGAGAAAAACCATGGATCCCAATTATAGCCCAGAATTTCCTTCTTCAAGATTCAAAGTTACAAATGATGACAAAATAAGCAACCTCACAATTCTGAGGACAGTTGGACAAGACGAGGGAATATATCACTGTGCTCTTTTAGACTATGTAGAGTTTACTTGGATGGGGACATATTTGATGGTAAAAGGTAATGTGAGACCTCAGTATTACAATCCTTTGAAATCTTTTATCTCTAAAGAAACAACATTCCTCCTGAAATTTCAAACTACAATCTTATATTACACCTATATTGCACAGTTTAAATTGGATTTAACAAGTTTTTAAAGGATGTAAAATTTCATCTGAATCAGCTATTAAACAGATTAAAAGTGTTTTACTAGTTTACACTGGTCTATAGCAAAATATTATAAGTGCCTCTGATTTATTCATTGTTTTTAATGTCTTATTCCTGTTGACATGCTCTTACTATGAGAAATGCAAAAAATATTATTCATGCAAGCGTTAATACATGCAAATATTAAATTCCTTGGAAAAAGTGTTATTTTCACTGCTTCAGTTTCATAGATGTTAAAAAAAAAAAAAAAAAAAAAACCGTACACTTTGTAAAGAGGCAAGTGGTTTATAGATCAGAATCCTTATGTTATGTAGAGAGACCATAAGATCTCTGGTTTAAAACAAACCTCTCTCTTGATCCTGAACCCAAGGATGCTCTTCTGCCCCTACTGTGGCAGCTACCTGCTCTCTTGGGAAAAGGCTAAGCACACTGTATTTCTTTTCCTTGTGAATCTGTCTATTACATTTTATATATTGAACAACGTAGTTTTGAAATGTAACCTTATAATAATTATTTCAGGAAACTCAAAGAAGACATCCAGCTACACTGTTGTTCAGCAGTCAACAGCCTCAGAGTCGTCGCGTCCAGAAGACTCAGAGACTCTGCAGTGTTCAGTTCTCTCTGAGTCAAAGAACAATTCATGTTCAGAAGATCTCAGCATGTTCTGGTTCAAAGCTGGATCCAACAAATCCTATCNATCTCAGCATGTTCTGGTTCAAAGCTGGATCCAACAAATCCTATCCAAATATCATCTACACTGATAGTAAAAGAGCTGATAACTGTGAGAAAAGTCCAAACACCCCAAAAAAATGTACCTATAACTTCCCCAAGAACATCAGCTCCTCTGATCCTGGGACTTACTACTGTGCTGTGGCTACATGTGGAGAAATCTTGTTAGGAAATGTAATCAGAAAGGAAGGAGGTAATATAAACACATTGAGAAATATGCACAATAATAAATGACTATTTCAAAGGCTTAGAGATGCTCATGTTTCTTTTTTCTCTTTTCTAGGTCAAACATTATGTTACAAAAATACGATTGTGCTGATCACAATAATCTTTTTAGCTGTTTCTGTGATCGTACATATAATTTTGATCTTTTATCGAACTCAAGCCTTGCCATGTCAAATAGTTAAAGGTAAGTATTATTAACCAATCAATATTAACTTTGTATTCTACTTAAAACTCAAGATCTACAGAAGAAAGTAACAACCTGAGTTTATGTAATGCTTTAAATATTAGCCATCTGACATGTGAGAGATCATTGAAATAAAATGTTATCAATAATGCATGTTGCTCTTTGTTCCACAGAAAGACCCTCTGTAGCAAAACGCAACAACGTGAACCACCAAAGAGATGAAATTGTGGGTAGTGATAAAAAAAAATCCCAAAAAATGTATTTGAGTAAGTTTGATACTCTTTCTTTAACTTTACATTGAATGCATTTCTCTTAACAGCGTGATGATGAGCAGGATCTGGTCTACTCTGCATTACATTTTTCTGGAAGGATGAAACCAAGAGGAACAAAGAAGATGGAAATGAAGACTAAAGAAATTGTGTATTCAGAAGTCAGACCATCAGTTTGAATTAATGTTGAGAGGAAATCTGCAATGTTTCAAAAAAGTAGTCTTTCCCTTTTTATTTTTTCATTTTTTATTTTTAAATAATGATTCATATGTGAGAGGCCATTGCAAAACTACATCCAAGTCTATCTGGGGCAATTTGCAGTTATTGACAGATCCTAAAGGAATGGAGTCTAAGTTTTCAAGTAATGTAAAACAAATGAAAATTGAAGAAAATATGAATATTGGCACTCTCCGAGCAATAAGGAGAAAGCAAACTTTGAAGATTCTTTAAATTGACACTGGAAGTGCGACGGAGTGTTAGGTTCAAAAAATTATTTTATTTTGAGAATAAAGTCAAGTTATTATAATATATTATTATAAAGTCATAACATTATGAAAATAAACTATGAGAATAAAGTTGAAAATAGCGTGAATGAAGTTATCATACCACAACCTGTTTCAGAAAGAAAGCTTCGAGCTCAGACCAGCATGTAACGGCCGACCAGACAGCAACCTGAGTCAACTTTGACATACTGCCCAATTTGATGCCGGTGTAGTATAACTTCACATTATGCTCGATATTCCACATTTAAGGGAAGACAGTGTTTCTTGTAAGAGTTGTCATATAATACACTTCATTCTTGTAATATTAAAACTTTATTCTCCTAATGTTACTTAATTCTCATAATGACCAATATTGTTGCGACTTTATTCTTGTAATTTTATGACTTAATTCTTGTAATGTTATTACTTTATTCTCTACTTAAAAAAAAAACTACTTCTAGCCTGGCCTTAATTCTCCATCGTACTTGAACTAGATGCACTGTTTTCAATGTAAAGGCCATTTACAGCACTGAATTACAAAATTTGTGTGACATATGTAGCAAAGCTCCTGATTTACTGGTCGATCTTCCTACCCTCATCTATTGTCATGAGCTTTGGGTCATGACCAAAAGAACGAGATCCTGGATACAAGCGGATGAAATTAGTTTTCTCCATAGTGTGCCTGGGCTCTCCCTTAGAGGTGGATGGAAGGATGGAGGGATGGGTGTGACATATGTGCATTTCTCAGGGAAACATGTTTTAGATGTCCAAAAGAAATAAAACACAAATTTAAAAGTAAAACACAACAACTAATTTAACTTTAAAACTTTAAATATTTTTTATCTTTGCGTGTTTTTGGTGTCTGTCTAAATAGTTAATTGGCATAATGTTACCAGTTAATCAATCTGGGGGGCTCATCCGCAACAGACCAATCAATGTTCAGGATTTGTCCTTAAGTGAAATGTCCCTCCCCTGCAGGAGCAAATGTGTCTCTCTCTTTTGTCAACTTTCCAGAATTTTGCATTTGGAAGGCATAGCGGAGATGGGAATTTTGTTAAAAAGACATTTTATGAAATGTTAAACATTTTTAAGTGAAACATGCAATTCAGACATGCTTAAAAAAAAACAAAAATGGAGTCTTAGAAAATATAAAAGATGGACGGGCCTGGAGTCCTACATAAAATGAAATTTTCCACAACACTCCTCCCTGTATGAAATTTGTAATGATGGCAGGACGTTACATTGGAAATCATAAAGAGGAACCAAGTTAACTTCATAAGGAACTCATTAAGCCTGTCTGCTAAATCAGCAGAATTGGAAGAACATATACAAAATGAAACAATTAAAAAAGAAAATAATGCAAATAACACAATCCTCAAAAGAAACAGTTCTTGCAGGAAAGTTAGAAGATCGAAATCACAAATACAGTAGTCCTGGGACGATGATGAAGAGGATCTGACATCTGCATTTCAGGAGCGGATCCCTTATCATCGTTCCAGTATATGTTTCACAGACCATAAGATCATGAGATTACATCACAGTAACTCACAAAAGGGAAACCATTAATAACATAAAATAGGTGGCAGCATAGGTTCTTAGAAAACAGTCAGCAATAAGTAATATGGATAAAACAGTCTCATGGTTCATTGTTTTATAAACAGTAAACCCCTCAGATGTCACCTTATTTTTGTTAAATTAGAGTGTAGCATTTGAACTATAGACCAGAGGTCACAAATTAGCGGACCGGGGTCCGGACACGGCCCACCTGCTGGCTATTCTGGATCCAACCTGATTTTAAAGATTTATAAATTACTGCATGTTGTCCAACGATGCTTGGCTTCCTCCCACAGTCCCAAAACATGAATTAACCCACTAAAACTAGAAAACAAGCAAAACTGGATACTCAAAAGAAAAACATAACAAAAACAGAAACCTGACATAAATTAAAACCGGGTGAGTAAAACACAGCCCACACTCAAATTTGTTTTTTTTAATTGTCGAAAATAATAGGTCTTTTTTTTAACAAAAGTAATAAAGACATGTTTGAGAATAGACATGTCTCAATATATTAAATTTATTTACATCATGTCAATTACAAAGAAGACATATCCCACCTTGGAGAAAATTTTAGTCAGTCGGAAAAAATAAATAAAATAATGTTGAAAAGGTGAATGCTGGTGGCACAAAAGTAATTTCCAAGCTAAACCTAAAATATATAAACCTAAAGTTGGAATACTTAATCATGAATCGAGAAATGCAAGATGGAGCTTAATCTTAAATATAATTTACAAATCTACCAACAATTATTGTGCTCGGTTTTGTAAAAATTGATGGTTCACTTTCCACTGGATTATATGAATATTTTCTGTTAATTTCTTCTTTTTTTTTTCTATTTATTGCTTGAAATAAATAACTTTAAAATGAAATCACTTTTCTCTAGATTATTTCAACAGGCCCTGAAGACTACGTGTCATGAGCCTTAAGACTCTGGTTTTGGTTTCCTTTGAGTTCCTGTTTTCCAGTATTTTATTCTTTAGCATATTATTTGAATTGTTTTTTTTTTCTGTTATGCTATATCCGTTCACTCCATTGTTTGTTTTCAGCTTCGACTTTAGGGTCTTGTCATATTCAGGTATTTTTAGTATTGAGAGTTTTGCATTTTACCTCAGTTTGTGTTATCATGCCAGTTATTTTCACGTTAATTTTGCTTGCCTATTTCATTTTTAAATGTTTAGACTTAACTCATTGTTTTTCTCTCAGCCAGAATCTTTATTTATTCTATAATTTACACTTGGTTTCTCCTCTAATTAAGTTATTATTTCTTTAACACTCTTCACAGGATAAAACATTTTCTTCAGTTGAATAAAGATAAAACAGAAGTTTTAGTTTCTGGACCACAAGAGCATCGATTAAAAAATCAGTGTCCATCTTCTGTTTGTTTGCCTACAGACCTCTGACATGAATAGAAATGTTGGGATGATTATGAATTCAATTATGTTGCGCCATATGCCATGATCATGGTTTTTGGACACTGGGAACCAGTGTCCATGTTTAATCTTGACAGGATGACCAGAGGAAAACACACAACTTTGGTGAATAACAGCTGGGGGACTTCTGCAACCCCCCCGTTTCAGCCAAGGCCTCCACAGGCAAGTCACATGGCAAGTCACAGAGGTGTTACCAACAAACACCCCCCTCTGTGTGAGGACAGACAAAACCACAGAGCACACAGAATTCTTCCTCTTTTTGCCTCCTGTGCTCTTTTGCCTCCTCTCCCTTGACCATGAAGCTGGGGTCCATCTCCAGCAAGTTGGAGATCCTGCCGGAGCAGAAAGACCCAGATCTCCACAATCCTCAAAGATAAGTCAGAACCTTTTAAAACCAAACTGCTGCAAAACAGACCTTTTGTAACACATTTCTCTTGAGTTTCAGAACTTATAGAGCCAGACTGGAGAGAAGGACTGCCTTGATGAACGACTGAGACAAAGAAACCATGCTGTGTACCACTGAGGCAAAGAACCCCTGGTTGCTGCACTGACTGCTGAGCTGCAGCTGGATGGAACTCAGCCTTTTCAATGGACATAGAAAAAAAGGTTTGCAGGTTTGGCATAATTAGGGACAGAACACACAATATGTCTTTTGATGATGTTCATATCAATCATATCATGTGTTTACTGATGAGGAAAGACAAAGCTAACAGGATGGACTGCATGCTACGCATGTGTGTTGAGCTGTTGCTGAAGCTTGGACAAGCTTTATTCAGTAATAGTTAAACACTGATATAACAGTAGCGTTCATGTGTTCCTCATATGCTCATTACATTTCCATTACCAAGAATGACCAAGAGTCATTTAGTGGAATCCTGATGTCTATTCGCTGCTAGCTATTTCAAAAAGGGTAAAGAATCATTTGACGAAAGGTTATTGGTTCTTGATTAAGCAAATCATTCAATAAAATATTATTTGGCCAAATAATGTTTTATTCACCTCATAGATTTGCATTGTGAATTGGTCTGAAAACATTCCAATTTTTCTAAATGAATGAAAAGCTAATTCGATCATATCCCAAATTCTTCCAGATAAACTTTGGTTCTCAAACTCAAAATCCATCTTAAACTGTAATATGGTTTTCAACCATGTTCCCCTTCCTCTTTGTACATAGTTGTTTAGTTTAGTTTAGTTGCACTAGTTTTAATTAAGAGTGTTAAACAGAAATATGTTTGACTTGGAGCTGAATGATTTTTCTTAATAAACTCTTATATTTTGAACAGAAGTTGTGGTGAATTTATTCCATGTATGTGCAGAATTACCTGTTTGACCATGATTAGAGCTCAAATCACACTTTCATTTATTGCTAGTAGGGCGTGTGTTCATAAACAATATACAACAGCCGAAATTAGATCTGATTAAATAAGATATTTTCCACCCCTACCGGGGAGGGCAATAAACATCTTAAAGTATCAACTTCTTCAAATTGTAGTAGCTGGGGTTCTTATAAAAAAGAAGAGACCAGTATATCAGTCCATTTCTGAGGTTTTACACTGACTACATTTTCCTCATAGTATCGAGCTTAAAATCTCATAAACTTTTTACAAGGCAATCACTCACTATGTCGAAAAAAGCTTTAAATCATGTCACAGACTGCATCCAACTGTCCAAATCAATGTGTTTTTTTGCATTATGTTTTTTCTCCTACAATGTTTACATTTGATCACTGCTAAACTTTAAGAAATGGAAATGTCTTGAAAGCTGTACAAATTGAAATTTCGTTTTGCATATACTCTATGTACCAAAATGACAATAAAAGTTGTCTAAGTCTAAGTCACTGGTCAGAGCACTCATTACTTCTTTGAACTTCTCCGCTGCCACAAACCAGTGGCGGCTGGCTAATAGAGGGAGCTAGGGCGCTGACCCACCCACTGGATGACCTTAAAGAAGACATAAAAAAAACAAAAATCTAATTATAAAAAAATTAAGAAATATAAAGATATATTTTTTAGATGAAGACAAATACTTAATCTTTAATGATTAGTAAATCATTGTCGGATTGGTGACGTATTTACGCCCTAGGTTGCAAAAATCTTTGGCCATTGACTCTCATTAAAAGTTGTACATGCTCAGTAGCTCCTCTGCAGTANCTTCTCTCCAGATGAACCTTCATCCACCTCTGCACCACCTCTTCCCAAACTCTCAGAATATTCTGTCCCTCTCATCTTCTGGCTTAATTCACCCCCACTGTCCAGGCCCGGGGAGAAGAGTACTCCAGTACCTTTTAAAAGTGACTCATCCCACAAAATGTCAAGTCACAGCAGCACAGTCTTCTGCCATGGTCCGAAAAACAACAAATAACTTGTTTCATTTATATCAAAAAAACGTTTCTCTGTGTGAGTCTCTCAAGGTTGAAACCGAATAAATCACATTTATTCTTAAATGTCAGCAGTTTTATTTAAATCTATACTATCTATAAATATGAATTTAAATAACTGTCAAAATGTCAAAAGTAGGCTACACTGTGGAAAATTAAAACAACATAATAAATTAGTATATTTTGCCATTTTGTGGCAGCAGGTAGTGCTCTTTCATTGCATTTCCGAGAAAGGCCATAAACATTTGAAAGTGGTTTACAAAAATATCCCTTTGTCTTTATTACCAAATGACTCCGAAAAAACAGATTGAATACATATCTCATATATTAATCAGCAGTCCAAAGACAAATGGAGAAGGTGCACTCTGTCTTTTTCCAGAACCTGGTTTAGCTACAAGTTTTGGCTAACTGCATGCAGCGAGTCTAATGCTTTATTCTGATGCCTTGAATGCCTGCCTCCTTTTTCAAATGTAATGATCTGTCCGAGCATGGATAAAGACAGGTAGGACTGATCAGAAGCACTTTTTAGAACAGGCAGAGAACAATCTGGAACTCCCATGGAAAAAAAAATATTATAGTGTACTTTTCCTAGTTGTTTGTTAATTTCCTTAGTTGCTCTTAAATAAACACATTATCAGAATATAAATATTTTTTATATATTAAAAATATGATTATCCATTATTGAACTGAAAATTTTTTTTTAATAGGTTTGTGAAATCATATTGGAACATGCAAAACACAGATTTGCCTTCACAAAGCCTTAGTAGGGAAATATTTCAAACTTGTACATGGTTAAATCTTGGTTAAACCTGTACATGAAATTATGCTTTTTTTTATAAAGTGTTTTTTTAAATGTTTTTTTTGTGGTTGGCATTCATGCACTAGTATACGTTTGATAGGTTTTTGATACATCTGTTTTGAATGTATAGCCTCCCCTGGAGAAAAGTCACCCAGCCGCCACTGCTACAAACCATCAGTAACTTGAAGATCACCAGATTCAAATTCACAGTACTCCCCATTTCAAGACTTAAAAAAGACTCGCAAGCAGCCTTCAGATTTGTTGCTGCAACAATCTATGTAAATACAATTTCCTGTACACTGTAGAACTACTACCACTTCAAGCTATTTTCATACAAGGTTAAAAAGTGTTTATTTTATTTTATGAACTATTGAAATTTAAACAGTTTCTTTTTCATTCAGTTTTATGTATCTCTTAAAACTTGTTAAGACCTTCTGTGTATTTGTATGTATTTATATAAGCACTCTCAGCTACTTTTGGCTGATAAGCTATATAAATGAAGCCTGATTCCTTATCTAAGGACCTAGAGTAATTGAGCTCTGGTCATCTTTATGTGCTATTTNGAGAAAAGTCACCCAGCCGCCACTGCTACAAACCATCAGTAACTTGAAGATCACCAGATTCAAATTCACAGTACTCACCATTTCAAGACTTAAAAAAGACTCGGAAGCAACCTTCAGATTTGTTGCTGCAACAATCTATGTCAATAAAATTTCCTGTACACTGTAGAACTACTGCCACCTCAAGCTCTTTTCATACAAGGTTAAAAGGTTTTTATTTTATTTTATGAACTATTGAAATTTAAACTGTTTTTTTTTTATTATTCAGTTTATTGTATCTCTTAAAACTTGTTAAGACCTTCTGTGTATTTGTATGTATTTATATAAGCACTCTAAGCCTCTTTTAGCTGAAAATGGCTATATAAATAAAGCCTGATTCCTTATCTAAGGACCTAGAGTAATTGAGCTCTGGTCATCTTTATGTGCTATTTTTGCCCTTACACTGACTCTAAGAGTCACAAAAGAAACCACAAGCAATTGGTGTTTTGTGAATTTAAGACTTCACACATTCTTCGAACATTAGCAGCTGCTTATGTGAAAACCTAACCATTTGTGGCAGAGTTCAAATCAGTCCTCTGGGTTTTTTTTATATTATGGAAGAACCTGTTGGTGGCGCTATCAGAAAAGACATTTGTGCTAAGTGTTTTTTTAATCACACAATAGGTGTAAAACCTTCTTGATCAAAGAAGAAGGTTTTACAGACATAAATGTTAGCTTTAAATTAATTGATAATTGGAAGACAAATATACATTTAGTTAAACATAGTCTCATGGTGGGAGAAGGCACACTTCGTTTTTTTCTGAAAAAAAAAAAAAAAGAGAAACCAGTTAGATGCACTTTAGATCTGGATCGCCACACCTAATCCTGTTATTAAAGCATCAAGTGTCTTTATGAAGTCAGTGTCATCATGACTGTTATGGATCGCAGTCTTTATGCTTTTTTGATATTACTAAAGAACCTGTTGGTGGCACTATTAGAAAATATATTATAATTTCTTGATCAAAGAACTAAAGTCAGGACAAAATAAAATATGACTATTAGCCTTAAGTCAATTGATAATTGTAAAATAAGAAGAAAGTTTTCTAACAAAACAGGGTCTTAAGGTGGGAGGAGGCAATCTTTTTTTTCTGAAAAAAGGAAAACCAGTTAGATGCACCTTAGATCTGGATCGCCACACCTACTCCTGTTATTAAAGCATCAAGGGTCTTTATCTAGTCAGTGTCATGATGACTCTGTTATGGATAACAGTCTTTATTCTTCATCAAGGATGTAAGTACATTTTGTTTTGAAGTGTGAAACTATTTTCAGTTTGGTATTAACATTTTATGTTGATCATTGATTTTGTCTTTAACCCAGATGCCTTAGTTCCTGTGGTCACTGTTCAGATTGGTGAACCTGTAACTTTTACCTGTGCTGCTATGGAGAAACTAATGACCTCAGCATCGATTCACTGGTACAAGCAAACTTCTGGAGATAATCTGAAAATGATTGTATTACACAGAAAAAACCTAGATCCCAATTATAGCCCAGAATTTCCTTCTTCAAGATTCAGAATAACAAATGATGAT